GTTTTCATAAAGTTTCATTTGCCTGTGCCACTTCCACCCGTGTTTATTATTATTATTATTACGACGAAGCTATGTTGTTTTTGAAAGACACGGTCACGCCCAGACAGTAAGTGTACTTTACATTTGTACAACAAGTATTTATATTTTAAATTGTAACTTATATGTACATATTTTAAGGACAACAACAAACATCGTCTCCCAAACGCCAGAAGTTCTCGGACAAGAACCAGATATACTGGATACTTCCTTTGGATTCCAAATAGGCGAGAGTGGGAACATTATAATAGAAGAGCAAGAAACCACTGCCCCAACGCCGGCTAAGAGACAAAAGAAAAAAAACGATGAGAACGCCGCCTTTAACGATCTAGTCAACGAAGTAAGTCAGTTTGTGGATAGTCAAAAAAAAACACACAACAATTTCTTGGGTGCGATTGGCGAAGTGTTTGAGAAGGTCCCAGAAGAGAGCCGCCTAGATTTTCAAATGGAAGTACTTCAATACGTCTATGCTCAATATAAAAATTATAAAAATTTAATTTACGAAATTTAAAAATTTAAATGACATCCAGTTTGAATTCAATTTTGCGAACTTTATATGTAATCTAATTTAGTATGAAATCTGATTTTGATTTTGCGAATTAAATATGTAATCGAATATATATGTAATATATAATATATATATGTAATGTAATAATATGTAATAAATATGTAATCGAACCTGAAAGATGTGACGACATTTAAAACATTACCAATAAGTGCCCTCATACTGTGAGTTCAAATTTTTGTTTTCTATCTTAAATAATAAAAACAAAGCATATTCAGTGAGTAGTAATTATTTAAATTTTATTGTTAAAAAGATGTGTCTTCAGAGCATCCCTTAAATCATAATTATTTGAACTGCCTCGGTTCGATGACACCCTACTTATTGAGGGCAATGGAACTACTTCGTTTCGCCATGGGCCAGCGATGGTGGCATCCTCTTCGTAGCGATCAACAAAATCGCTTGCTACATAGTTTGCACACGAAAGCTTAATAAAATTATGCAAGACAATACAAGCTTTCACTATTTGTTCTGCATTTTTCGGGGCCATGCATAGCGTCGTTCTCAATATTCTCCATTTGGCAGTGAGTATTCCAAATGCGTTTTCTATAACTCTTCTTGCACGAGAGAGTCTTTTATTGAAATACTCTTGCTCTTCTGGAATACCTCTATCCGGATATGGTCGCATTAAATAACGCCGTAAGGGAAAAGCAGCATCTCCTACTAAATAATGTGGAAATGGCTCGGTTTCTCCTGGCAGAGGCTGATCATGTGGAAGGCCGAGCTTATCATTTTCAATAGCATCTGCCAGTTTTGAAAAGTGGTAGACACCGCCATCGCTTTGACTTCCATATGCTCCGATGTCAACGCAGGTAAAGGTATAATTGGCATCACATACGGCCAAAAGCACGATACTATAATTGCCTTTGTAATTATAGTACATCGACCCTGAATTCGCTGGACAGGTAATATTAATGTGCTTTCCGTCGATGGAACCAACGCAGTTGGGCATATTCCACAGCGACTTGAACTCATTGGAAATACGTCCCCATTCCGTTTCTGACGGGGTCGCCACATACAGGTCAGCTAACAGATCCCATATGGTCATACATGTCTCCAACGTAATCTTCCTGAAAGTCGTCAGGCCGATCCTGTGAACTATTGTGTGGAATTGCCGAGTGCCACCGTGAGCCAAATATCTGCAACAAAAAAATAAAACCAGATACATATATGGAAAATTATACGTATACTATTAAGTAAAACCGATTTTCTCTTACATCAGGGTTATAAATAGTCTGCAGCGGCTCGATATTGGTGTTCTGATTGAATATTTGGTCAGCGAAGCCTCCAGAAATTCGTGCAGCACATTAAATAACGAAAAGGGCATTCTTAATGTCTTGTTAAACTGCTCCTCATCTGCAGCCAAGTTTCTTAATGAACTTTCAAACAATCCATATTTGTGTCGCTCTAAGTACAATTTCCGAACCCAAAATCGGCGCTTCTGTTTTAATCGCAGTTTTAATTTACGCATTTTCGCTAAAATTAGGAAAATTCTCAAAACTTGTTCAGCATTTCGAGTCAACATTTTGTACTGCCAAATGAAACTTTATGAAAACCAACGAATCTGGTGGCCGGAACGATAAAAAGCAAGGTATCTGAAAAAAATAATGTTGTTAGCAACAAATAATTGTTTAATATAAACTCTTTTACCTCCAATTGAATATTACGTCTTATAAACACGGGTGGTGAGTGGCGCAGCCAAATGCAGCTTCACCAAAACCGGAACGATAAAAAAGCAAGGTATCTGTAAAAAATAATGTTCTTAGTAACAAATAATTGTTTAATAACATATATTTTAACTAAAATTCACAATTATACTTGCTGGCACAACAAAGAATGGCGGGTATATTTGCGCGCATTGAAAATCAGCTGACTACTATGACAGCGTTCAAAGCTACCATTAGGCCATAAAAGCCTTCAAAGTAAAGCAAAGCAAACTAAAGTAAGCAAAGCAAGCAAAGCAAGCGTGCATTGGGCCAATACCTAAAGATTTTATAAACGTTTAGGGGATGAATATACATACATATACGCTTAGCATGAGGAAAAATAAAACGAACGATTCAAACTTTGTTTGCGTCGACGCGAGCA